AGTGTATTTTTGTAAGATTTAATTTCAGAAAACATTATTCTTGTGAACAGAGTGGATTAAATTTTTCGGAAGGAATTGCAATGCCTGCCTAATTATTTTCTTTTATATATATTTAAAGAATTCACTATATTACTAAAGCCAACCACTGCCCTTTGCCATTGGGCTATATAACGACTATAATAATAATAATAATAATAATAAAAAGATACAACACTCACAAATGACACATGCAGAAAGTGTCACATCATGCCAGAAACTATACAACACATTACATCTGGTTGCAAGCTCTTGGCACAGACAGATTACTCACATAGACACAATCAAGTAGCAAATATAATACACCAACAGCTTGGAAACAAACAGAAATCGGTAGACATCCACAAACCATACTACAAGTATATACTACAAACAGTATTGGAAAACAACACACACAAAATGTACTACGACAGAGCCATAATCACAGATAAAACAATTTACTACAACAGACCAGACATCACACTCATTGACAAACACAATAAAATCACATACATTATAGACATAGCCATTCCAAACACTCACAATGTACAAAACACATGCACTGAAAAAATTAGCAAGTACACAGAACTTGCCCAGGAAATAAGGCATCTATGGAGGATGGATAGGGTAGTTATTGTACCTGTTGTTCTTTCCTGTACAGGTGTGATACCACACACACTACACAAAAGCCTGGGAACATTAGAATTGAGTAGAAATACATACATCACACTACAGAAGGCCACTATATTGAATACATGCCACATTGTTAGGAAATTCCTGAATACAGACACTGACACACTTATTTAATTTTAGTTTTGTTTTGGTTGCTATGCCTTGACTCTGGTCCGGCATAGTACACAGCCACCGGTGTGAACCAAGTAAAACTCACTGAACTCAACATAATAATAATAATAATAAATTATCAAACAATTTGACACTAGAGGGAGGCATTAGGCTCCACCTCGTAATAAATTTAATTAATTATAATTTTAATTAAATAATTTAGATTAAACTGGAAGAAAAGAATCAGCCTGGAGTGAGACTTGAACCCCAACTCCCACTTACCAAGCAAATACATTGCCAATTATTCTACCTGGACCTCTGGCCTGATCTCATCTTCCAGTATATATAACATTATGCTATAACCATCGTCGGTTACTATGGTGCCAGCTGGAAATGCATCAAGAGCCCTCATCCTGTAAACTCCCACGTAATGCACTCAGTGGTTGGCTGTAGTAATATAATGTATCAGATTTTGTAGAGTTGTTTTGATGAATTCACTGTAGAAGTCAAAAGTCAAAAACTGGAAGACAGCTCCATGGATATAAATATTAGAAAAATCTTGAAAGAATTAAAGGAGTCAGGATATTTGTTCAGATTAAATGCTTTTCAAGATTTTTAATCACATATTCAGATCACTATTAGATGTTCTAACAATTCAAATAGAATTGTTCATACAACTTTTTGAATCTAACCAATCAATATCACAAATTCAAACATTTCTTTAACAAATTAACAATATTTGGGGTGTATATAAAAATTATAATAAACATAAAATAATATCTGTGCATAAACTAAGAAACAAAAATAAAAAGCGAATAAGGAGTCATAATAAATGATAAAAAACCTAAAAATAATAATAAAATAACAGTAAATAAAATAATTCAATAGTAGATTAGTTGTAGTGGAATAGTAGTAGATAATTTAATAGTATGCACAGATATTTAAGTGTAAAAACACAAAATGAAATATCTATATGTGAAGTTTCTACAATATAAATAGCTAAGACTTGGAAAGAAGCTTCATCTGAAGTTTTTGTGGGCAGGATTGTAACCATAGCAAAAAATGTTATACCCAAAAATCTAGCTTGTTTTCTTCTCTTCTTTAGAATTGGCAGTTTGGTAGTAATGATGGTAGACTCTTCAGCTGTTCCAAGTGGCAAAAATAGTAGACTCTCAGTTAACTGTCACCCATTGGGATTGGTAGATGCCAGGTAAATAGTTTCTGGCTGCTTGAGAACTCCATTAGTTGTTGGTATGGCTTCCTCTACTTTTGACGAGGCATATTGATCACCAATGAAATGTTTACCGCAGACAGAGGAAGATAAACGGATTTCAACGTATCTTTACAGTCCTTTATATAACTGGAACAAGCAGCTGATAAGGAGACAATTCTCGTTCCATGCATGCACAATCGCTTTGCAATTCTACTCATTTGCATGTCTTACCTCACTTTCCATTTCCTGTAAGTTTGGTTCAATTTGTACAATTCCTTCATGGTGTTGCAATTTTCACAAACATGAGNTAAAAATAAGAATGATGAGAAAAAGAGTGTCTAAAAGGGGGAAAATAGATGATATACAACACAAGTGATGAGGGGTACTCATAAACAGAGCATCCATACTATACCATACCATACCAAAAACTCTGTATTGACTTGATGTTAATATTGAAATACAGTAATTAAAAGTAAATTAAGACAAATAAATACAAACAGGTTAAATGAGAACAAAATCTGAACAATAATAGATTCCAACCAACAGATATGTTTACACACAGTGAATCTGTTGGAGTGGAGTCATATGTTTGACTCCACTCCAACAGATGGTGTTTGTATGGGCTTACACATGGCACAGCATTCCATATTTAAACATATTTTTGCTGAAACTGATTTTATTTTAATTTTTATTTGAAGTACAGTTGTCCCTTGATAATCCGACAGGTATGGGACCAAAGGTGTGTCAGATTACCAAAAGTGTCCGGATTACCGAAGTCACAGCCATGCAGATTAGGTATCTGTTATCCCGTGCTGTTGTGCTATTGCTTGCCCCACTGCCAAGTTTTTGCCTTATTTGGTTCTCCTCTGTCCATTTCTTCCAAACACACATAACTTTTGTGGCATTACACTGCGTGCAGGCTGCGATTTCTCGATACAAAAATCCACCCTCTCACATACCAATGATGCGGCCTCGTACNCTGCTCACATAAAACACACGAAATGTGTATCATCGAGTAAGAATTGGATGGGGAGATTCACATCACGACATGCTTCTGTGACAGGTAACGGGGATGGGTACCTTGACGGGAGGTGCGTCGGACTACTGAGCATGTCAGATTAAAAAATGTCGGACTATAGAGGGACAACTGTATTATTTATTTCAGTTTTTTGCTAGTTACTTGAATTCCAGTTGACAAAGACTCTACTGTAACTTGTATATTTTATTAGATTCTTGATATCCTTCCACTGAGGAGTTGATTTCTTTTACATGAAGTTCTGTGGAGAATTTCCCTCATTTGAGATTGTCTTTATGCTCAGACACACTAGTGTGCACTTTGTGCTATGTAATAGCTATTCTGTCATCCATTTTAATTGGAATGAAATAAATGCCACTTTGTTCCTTCTTTGGTATCAATTCTTTCTCATTTTAGTCATGTCATATTGCTGGTTGTATTATAGTCACTACTTCCATGTTTATTATATTTGTATATACCACAAATACTGTTAATTAATTTAAAAATATCTGTTCATTTGTTAAAGAAATGTTTAAATTTGCAATGTTGGTCAATTAGATTCAAAAAGTTATGTACAAACAGCTGTTTGAACTGTCAGAACTAGGGTTTCTCATTTCCCGGTCTTTTGCTTGTCCCGGGATCCCGGGATAAAAGTGAACTGTTTCCCGGGATCCCGGGAAATCCTGGGATAAAATTAATTATTTTTAAGGTATACAAAATATCTTGAAATCAAATGATATAATTATTTTCCATTTTTTAAAGTAATTTTAAAGTTTTGTAACCTCCAAAATCATATTAATAATGCTGTGTTAGGTCTATAGGCCTATAATAAAAATTACCTTTAAATAACGTAGAAATTTTCACAAATAGAAAAAAATTAATTAAAGTTTGCTGGAAACTGCATACAACAACAACAAAAAAAATGTTCTGAATTGAGTTAAAAATTAAAAAAATGAACTTCTAATTTAGAAGGTAATTTTCGTTTTTTAAATAAAATATAATACAAAATATTGCAAACTTTTATAAGATTTTAAAAAGCAAAGATGGTCAATACTCCGATAACTCACTCTAATTCTTATTTTAGTAATGAAAAGTCTTGCCACCGAGAATGCCCTTTCCGATTCAATTGATGTGATTGGAATAGTGTTTAATGCATTTAAGAGAAGACAGATATTATGTGTTTTTTCACCTGTAGCCTGGAAGCTTTCGAGTTCGTTTTCGAGATTGTAGTACTTCTTTCGCTCTCTAGTATTCTTGATTTGTCTACCTTGGCTGCTTTAATAGCGGCATCAAGCTTAGAGCTCGATAATTCGGCAATTCATTTGGCTTTAATAATCAGGTTTATGAAGAAAAACTTCATACTTGCAGACTTTGTACTCGTTTGTATCCTTGCCCAATTTGCACAATCTGGCGTCAGGCATTTATTGAAGCTACTGGGCATGGTTAAAACTCAAGACAGCGTAAGCACAATTATTCCAGATATTACAGGTTCCGACAAGTAAAGAATTTTTATAGTCCTGCCACAAATAAGCTATATATTGATTATTGACCATTTGTGACATGCTATAACGAGCAAAAATTTAAAAAAAAACTAATAGGTAGGTTTAAAATTAATAAATACAAATGTATTCTGACAGTGAATGAGTTAATTATGCTTTCTATTTGCAAAATTCCTCAAACTTAACACAAAATAAGAAAAAAGTGAATTTTTAAAAAATTTGCGAGATTTCCCGGAATAAGAAAAATTTCCCGGGTTAAAAAAACAACCGGGATCCCGTTTGAGAAACCCTAGTCAGAACATCAAATGTTGTGGATGCAAAGATGGAAATGAAAATCTCAAAAAGCACTTAATTCAAATACATATCCTGACTAATTTAACCCTTTTAAGTATCTTTATAACAGAGATTAGATACAATTTAAAACAATTTATTTTTTGCTTGCATAAAAAATTTAGCAAAAGAATTTTGCACTTACACAAAAAATCCTTTTATTCCTTCTTCTTTATATATTTCAATGAAAGATCCATGAATAGTTCTGAAATGTAAATTCATATTTATTAATAAAATAAATAATGTAAAATTAATAAAACAGCCTTCATTAGTAAATAATAAATGATATTCACAACTCATAATCAAATTAAATTTTTTTAACATACACTTAAATTACCAGATTGTCCAATGATTTAAGCTTACATTTGATAAAAACACTCTATTACGGTAATATTAATTAATTACTAGAAAAATTTGTTTAAATGTAGGCAGTGGTATTGTCATTCTGTAAAATTATTAATAAAATTCAATACAGAGAGAGAGAGACTCTATTGAATTTTCTAATCATTTGTTTTGAATGTGAAAGATATTTGAGTACATTTCAGTAAATTTTATATTGATATTTGATGATAAATAATCTCTCGTAAAATAGCAATCTGAAAAAACTCAGTATCTTTTTCCAATGAAAAGTACAGCCAAACCCAAATGTTATCAGTTTGTAAAGTCCACATTAACAAAAAGCAGACTTGCAGTCCCAACACAAATTCTTAGTATAAAAGGTGTTCAACATTGTTTATATTATTTAGTATATAATAAAAATAAGAATGATGAGATAAAGAGTGTCTAAAAGGGGGAAAATAGATGATATACAACACAAGTGATGAGGGGTACTCATAAACAGAGCCAGGAAGGCTAAACATTTCTATTAAAGTAATTATGGAATGTAAGATGATCAAAGTAAATTACACATTCATGAAATGAAGGAAGACCTAATCTTTGACCTGGCCACATTAAGTTGGGTGGTATAGGGTAGATGACAAAACTTATTAAGAAGAAAGTTTTTAAAAATTTTTTAAATAATTAGACAGGACAAATTTACATTTACAAAAATATTTTAAAAATTCTTGAGTAAACAATACACACAAGGATGTGTCTTTTCAATCAGTCCTTTCAAATATACATGAAGAAAACAATCCTATGATAGAGTCAACCTTTTATTTGAGGCTACTCTTTCGCCTCCAAATGAAAAAGTTTAAAATATCCCTCTGGCAGTGGCATAATCATATAAATTAATTATTATTATAATTATAATATAAAAAACACCTACATTGTTCAGAGTTGACATATTTAATGAGCACTTGATTAATAGTAAAAGTAGGTAAATGTATATTTTGAGTTAGAGAAAAACATATAAAAACAGTTTTATCTGTTTATTCTAAGGTTAGCTTTGAATTTTTATTACAAAACTGGGGAGCTTTGCCTCCCTCCTGCATGCTCACCCCATAGGCTTTGCCAACTTCTTCCTATATTTACCAGTTGTATCCATTTATTTTTGAATATTTTATTCAAATGTTTATAATACAGTCAATCAAAAATTTTTTAAAAAAATTTATGTATTTAGACATGCTTCTGTGACAGGTAATGGGGATGGGTACCTTGACGGGAGGTGCGTCGGACTACTGAGCATGTCAGATTAAAAAATGTCGGACTATAGAGGGACAACTGTATTATTTATTTCAGTTTTTTGCTAGTTACTTGAATTCCAGTTGACAAAGACTCTACTGTAACTTGTATATTTTATTAGATTCTTGATATCCTTCCACTGAGGAGTTGATTTCTTTTACATGAAGTTCTGTGGAGAATTTCCCTCATTTGAGATTGTCTTTATGCTCAGACACACTAGTGTGCACTTTGTGCTATGTAATAGCTATTCTGTCATCCATTTTAATTGGAATGAAATAAATGCCACTTTGTTCCTTCTTTGGTATCAATTCTTTCTCATTTTAGTCATGTCATATTGCTGGTTGTATTATAGTCACTACTTCCATGTTTATTATATTTGTATATACCACAAATACTGTTAATTAATTTAAAAATATCTGTTCATTTGTTAAAGAAATGTTTAAATTTGCAATGTTGGTCAATTAGATTCAAAAAGTTATGTACAAACAGCTGTTTGAACTGTCAGAACTAGGGTTTCTCATTTCCCGGTCTTTTGCTTGTCCCGGGATCCCGGGATAAAAGTGAACTGTCTCCCGGGATCCCGGGATAAAAGTGAACTGTTTCCCGGGATCCCGGGAAATCCTGGGATAAAATTAATTATTTTTAAGGTATACAAAATATCTTGAAATCAAATGACATAATTATTTTCCATTTTTTAAAGTAATTTTAAAGTTCTGTAACCTCCAAAATCATATTAATAATGCTGTGTAAGGTCTATAGGCCTATAATAAAAATTACCTTTAAATAACGNACGAATACCGATTTGTCTTCCTTTGTCTTCAGACAACAATTCAAAACTTTTCACAGAGCGGGAGATGTCGACATCGACGTTCAACCCGGTATATACTGATCAGATAGTATTCCCGAGAACTTTGGAATTTTCCCTTGTAATTTCAGCCTTTTATATTTCTGACAGAAACAATTCTTTTATGTTTTCTTCTAAAAAACCAGATTAATGCTGATATCTACTATTAAAGATCTTTTGAAGAAGTAGAAGGATGTCAAAACGACGGTCTTAAAATGGCATCAAAACCAGGTTGAGGTTAATAGGCTTAGGAATCTCTACAATTACAATGCTATTAATTACTTCTGAAAAATCATGAAGACAGGAAAGCAATCAACATTGGACAGATTCTTTAACCCCCACAAAAGGATAAAACATGACTAATAAAAATGCAAGACCGTGTATATATGTATTTTTATTATTACATATAAATAAACGTAGTAAGAAAGTATGTATTTTTTATTTTTTGGGGTCTCCAGAACAAATTAATCAAATTCCCATAGAAACCTATGGTAAATTGATAATCAGTTAACAAACAATTCGGATAGCGAACAAAGTCTTGGAACAGATTATGTTTGTTAACCGATCACCCACTGTACAGTAGACTTCACTTATTATAATCAGGGTTAGTGTCATCAGTCATTTAATGTTATCAAAATTACCAGATCCCAAAACTTTATTTGTAATCAGAGTCCACTTACTATCATTATCAAGTAAATGGGCACTTTTTACAACAATAACTTCAATATGCAGTTGATGACATGCTATCATTATCAGTTTTAACTAGTGTTTTAAATGTTAAACACTAATTATTTAATCATTATTAGCTCACAATATAGTATTTTAAACAGCTGGCATTTCTTACTTCTATTACACACTAATGTTGCAAATGATATTACTTGTAGATGAATTATATTAATATAATATGCAGGGGTCACCAAAATCGCCACTTGGCGATATTTTTATTAAAGTGACGATAAAAATATAACACTGGCAATTGCAAGTGGCAATAAAAACCCTAGTCTGCTTGTTTCAACATTCAGCATGAAATTGAATCAGAAATCATACTTCGGGGAAAACAGCAAAACCTAACAATTTCAGGACATCATGTGGCAAGTTCTGGCAGAAAAGTAAGAAGTGACGTTGAGACTAATGTCAGATGAGCATGATTTCTCATTCATGGTTATGATCAAAAGGCCATATCCAATATTGCCTACATCAGTTTTTTTTTGCTTTTAAATACTTCTGTTTAAACATTGTAATTGAATGTGTTGTTCGGAATTATTCATTAAAAAACTTATTCAAAAATTATTCCTATTGCTAGCAAGGGGAAGGCTATTCAGGACTCTGATTCGAACATAACTTGGTGAGCATGTAGCCCTAAATACAAACAGCTTGTCATCCAAATAATAGAACCCACTTCTCAAGCGTGTCCTGTTATTTAGACAACAAGCTGTTTGTCCACTTCAAAAAATTGGGCCTCTGAAAATTTAGTGTTTAGCTTATAAGTCTTTGGAAGTTTCATATCCAAGAGTGGCAATAGCTGAGCAAATAATATGCTAAGCACTGGAGCTAAATGATATAGGTTCAGAGATTTGGTTTGGTTTAGTTAATTTTATGTGTAACTTTATTATTTTACTGCATCATTAGCATTATTATTATTGTTATTATTATTCCTCACATTTAAACTGTATAGAACAAGAGATTAAAACTTGTTACATCATTTCTTGTTTAGTGAAAAACAAGCCTCTATAGCAGGTGTGACCAAACTTTTATCTCTTAGGGGCTATTTTTTTGGTAAAATATAGTCTGCAGGCGACTATGAATATGGACAAACAATTTTAGGATTTTTATATGCGCATGCGTTAACATTCATTTGCATTGTTCATCGGGACAAATACAAACAGTATGAGTACATTGCACAGACAGTCTATTATTGTAAGAATAAATTATCGAATTAAGATTTTTAAACATTAATTTAAGTGAAAGCAAATTGTTCAACTTTAGCTTCACGGACTACTTTCAAAACCTTTGCAGTCGACCGGGGTCTACGTGTTGGCCATCCCTGCTCTATAGATTTAACTCTTTTATGTCATTAAATAAAACTTTTATTTCTTCACATTTATTTTCACATATTTTACATAGTATCTAATAATATAAGCCACTGATTGGGTGTCAGTATATCTGTAACAGTATGCCTAAAACACCCACTAGGGGCACCCTAGCTATTATTTAAATTAACAATAAATTCAATTTTTTGCGTAACAATATTAAAATAACAAAAAATGTGATTTTTTGCATTTTTGACTATGGTTTAGCAGGGTATGCAACAAGAATGCACATTAAGAAGGGATTTTTTAAAATTCCCCCACAGGTGAGAGGGTCAAGGATTACCCTGAAGAACTCTGATTCTTCTGTACTATTTTAGATGCAGTTTTTTGCGTTTTTGACTGCATTTTAGTAGGGTACACCATGAGAAATTCAGTATTATTATTATTTTTATTTGTAATATGAATATATTATTTATATCATGGAATGACACCACTGATGCTAGAATGCCCTTCCCATGGGGGTGGGATAAACCTAGCCCCCTCCCCTATGGGAAGGGAAATAAATTCTCTGAGGGGAGGGGAGTTTCCCCACGGGAAGGGGGAAAAATTAGAGATACTCTATAACAGTGTTTCTCAACATGGGCATTTTTCCATGTTGAGAGGGAGATTTGTAACAATTTATATTTTGGAGGGGCGAAAAACAATTTTCTGGGCGATATAGTAAAACATTATATTAAAATTAATTAGAGTTTTTATTCGTTATATCGTACAATAATTAAACAAATAGCATTATACTAGTCACTAGTCTATTGAATGCAGTACGAATTTGGCGTTAGCCCTGGCCCTCGGCATCAGAATTTTGAAGTGAAGGGGGCGATACTACGTTGAAAGGGGCAACGATTCGTTAGAGGTTGAGAAACACTGCTCTATAAGGACATGGTTCTCCTCCCCCGTGAAGACAGGAATTCCCCCCATGGAATAGGGAAAATTTCCCATTGATATGAATTTATTATTTATACCATGGAATGACACCACTGCTACAAAAATGCCCACTAGAGGGCAGCCCGGGCTATTAGTGTCCTCATAAACAAATAAGCTTCAAACGTTACTGCACATGGATGAAAATGACAAGTGATATGAAAATAGAATAGCAAGTCACAGCATTTCATTTTTTTTAACTGTTAATATTATGGACATTAATGTTATTAATTTCCTTGTGTGCTCATGTTTGTTACACTTTGAATGTCACAATACTACCATATCTAAAAATAAATGTGAAAAAATCTACAGAGCTCGATTTCCGTAAACAGGAAATGTCACAATTTTTAATTTCTTGTTTCATAAGCTTAAATATAAAATTAATGATGATAATAAAATTAACAGAATAAAATAATAATGTTAAACATAAAAAAACAACTAAAATTTCAAACAATTAAACCTACATTATCTAGCTCCAGTGCTTAGCATCTTATTCACTCAGCTGTTGCCACTCTTGGATATGAAACTTCCAAAGACTTATAAGCTAAACACTAAATTTTCAGATGTCCATTTTTTGGAATCACTTGAGAAATGAGTTTTGTTATTTGGACAAGGAGTTATTTGTGTTTAAGACTATGTGTTCACCAAAGTTCTGTTTGAATCAGACCTGAATGTCTAGTCCTCTCATTGCAAGTTACAGTTTAACATGTTACTCTTGCTTTTCAGATACCAAACTGATAGGGCTACTGGCACCTGCATTAATTAGTAAAACTAGTGGCGATAAATAATTTGAAGTGGTGAAAAAATTTAAAACTGTTGAAATGGTGGCAATATTTTTAAATTTTGCAGAGCAACCTATTATACAAATTCTGGTATATTGTATAGAGGGTTCCTACTCAAATTTTTGTTTTAAATTTTATGACTTTCCCTGACCAACTTTGTACAAATTCCTTGACCCTCACGTCCCTTACAGTTCAACAAATTGATGAAATAAAACAGCATATGACTTATTTGCATAATAAGTCATATGCTGTTTGTTATTATATATTGTAGTAGATATGTTATTGCTTCTTTGACAGTTTAGTTAGTTATTTTTTCTAATTAACAATTACATAATTTTTATACTTGCTGAATAATTAAATTTAAAAATAAAATGTTTTATTAAATTAAAACCATAAATCTATGTGGCTTTGAAAAAATAAAATACCATTATTAACAAATCCTGTATAATCCATGTACAAAAGTACATGTTTATTAAATTTCTCTCTTAATAAATTTCCTGAACTTTATAAAATATTAATAAACTGGGAAAAAGATCAGAAATTATTTTGTTACACAATTAAAATTATTAAAATAAAAAAATAATACCATTTAAATTAAAATTATTTATCATTTCTTGCACTTTGTTATCATTATTTTTTTTATCAGTTCATTAACATCTGCCCTCAAATTGAGAATGTAAACACTAATTGTGAGGGAATCAGAAAAAGTTAAAATATTTCAAAAAATTTTAAACAATGTTAGATTATTATTATTTAGATTTTAAAATACAATCTTACAATGCAATAGAATAATAAGTCTTATGTATAATAAGACTTACTTATTAAATCTAAAATTTTAAAAAAACTGTAAAAATTAAAATTAAATTTTGGCTGACTGTATTTACATCAAAATATAAATAAATAAAATATATTGAAGCTACAAAATTGTCTTTGTGTTTGGTGGTTTAATGACTGAACATGAAGACAATTTTGGAAGCTTTGATATATTTTATTTATTTATATTTTTATGTAAAAATTAAAATTAACTTATTTGATATGGTTTGAAAAATTTAAAGAACTGCTTACAAACATGGTCTTTAGGTATAGTATCAGAAAATTAAAAATAATTGATAAATAGCACTTGAGCATTCTTTACATTTCTATTATACACCCCACAAGTCAACATTTCATTGTAACAGTTTTAATATTCTTATTATCAACAGTGCATCTTTATTTAAATTGTAAAAAAACTTCATACAAATTTTGAAAAACTGGAAGAACTACATGTCTAAGTTCAGTACAAAATACCCCAATGACATACTTTAACCTAGTGTTTCTCAAACTTCACCTTCTGGTAGACCTGTTTAATAAATTTTAATGGGCCATTTATCTAATTTGCATAGCTTGCTGTCAATATATTTGCCTAAACCCAAAGGGATCTGTGGACCATACATTGTTGAGAAATCTGAAATCCAAATTATCTCAACCACCTGGATGTGAAAATTTCTACTATTAGGCACTATACACTGTGCAAAAATTTTCAGTGTTTTCATACAATGCTTTCAATGCTGTCAGATAAGCAGTTAAGTATCTCAGAATGGACAGATTTATGGGAGAAGGCAATGCTGAAAATCTGCCAAGGAGGAATGCTTCCCAAGAAGACTTTCTACAGGAAACTGACTCTATTTAAGTGTTAGATTTGTGAAGAAAACCTGGAAAACTCAGTGTGGCCAGCCCATTAGTGAGATGCAAACCTTTGTCCAACTACCAGTGTTTTATCCACTTAGCTATTGATGGGCTAAGCACATAAGCCAGTATTAATTACCATTACCCAGACCCAACTTTTGTTATTTTAAAGTTTTAAATAATTTCAAAAAATTATATTATTTTAATGAAATTATTTAAATTGTAAAGGTATGTAATTTTTCCTATTAACTAGTTAAAATAATTTAACTTAAATAACATAAATAAGTGTTTTAGAAGTTAAGATAAAATAACCATGATGAGAAAATAATTTCAATACAAAAAATTTTCCTTTTTACAGTACTTTTTGGTGTTCGTTACTTGAAGTTATAAAAATTCATTCTGAAGTCATCATTATAAATAAATTTTGCATTTTTGAATGTCAAAGTCCATTAATTACTGTCTGTGCTAAAAATAATCAATTATGAAACCGAATTCAATTTTATTTTTATTAATTAATCAACAAGTTTATAATTGTATATGCTGTCCTACATTGATGAAAACATGTGCTTAAATTAAAGCATTCTTTTAATCTAAAATATTTATGTTAACTTATACATTTAGTGTTGCATGCAAATTGTATGATAGGCTTATTTAATTATATGTATGATTTAATTTAAATTTTCCAAACTATATACAGTAGAACCCCTCTAATCTGTCACCTTTGGGACTGGGGTATGGTTGAAACGCAAAAAAGGTTGGATTATCAGAAAAACGTAAAATAAAAAATCTTTCCCTTTGTATAGTCTCTGTAGCACTGCTAATTTTTTATTTAATGAAAGAGTAACGTGTTTACGTTTCACTCCTGACATATTGAAAACACACACAAAACTGTACATGTACACACAATGTAAAATATATACTGTAACGAACACAGAAGAATGCCACAGACGGCGAGTCACCGATGACTCGGGACAAGTTTCTCAACTCCGACTACAGTCGGATTAACTGGAGTGACGGACTAGCCGAGGGCGGACTAGAGGGATTTTACTGTAATAATAATTATTAATTGGTTCATAAATTACAGTTTTATTTTGTGTGCAATAATTTTTGGGGAAATTTTGGGTCCTGAAAGTTTTCTGCACCCCTTTTTGTAAGTTGTATTGTACCACATTACTTCTTGTTGTTTGCAGACAGCTACACTTGGTCTAACTTATTGTGAGCAAAAAAATCAACAAGGCAGCCAAGGAGGCAAATTCCCTGACTTTCCATGACTTTTTCTGAACACTAATGAAAATCCCTGACTTTCCATGAGTGGAGGAACTCTGCATATATACTGAATATGCTGTATATGTGAATATGATGTATATGTAATACGTATACAGCAACATACAAGTCTGTTCTCCTATAATTACTGCTTTTTAACGTCAATGCTTTAAATGAAAATAAAAAAAAATTAATGTAATGATATAAAATATGCTAAGAAAGCAAAACATATTTCAAACATTAGTTGATTTTATTGTTTTTCTTCTAATTCTTTTTTTGTAATTTATAGTAAAAAGTTTTACATATTAACTGTTCAAATTGGTTTTGATGACAGTGAACATTCTTAAGCAAATTTGACATTTCTCTTTAGAATTTTTCAATGTAAAACTTATGTTGATGTAAAATTGTGCACTATTGCACTCTATTGCAACCAATTTTTGTAATATTTTGTTTAATTAATGACTACAAATTAAAAATTCTATGTGCATTTGTAATTGGACTACTTCAGCACCAAGTTTTAATGACTTTTTGCTTAGTCTATCTGGCAGATCTGATTTGCTAAGACTGTATATTATTCACACATGTATATAACAAAATGATTTGAAACATTTTTAGCTTCAAAAAGTTTTTGTTCCAAACTACAAATCTAGTATTATTAAATTTCCAGAAAAAATAAACAAATTCCCTCACTTTATACCAAATGTAAGTTTCCCTGACTTTGCCCTGGCCATTACAAAATTATCTGACATTTCCCAGTGAGGTAACTCAGAATAACAAAATTTGGTTATAATCATTTTGAAAAAAATTGGAGTTTTTGGAACCATTTTCAAGTAATTTTTCAGGTAAATTTTGATTGCCCGTTTACCTCCAGCACTATGTATTTAAATAATAAAATAAAAGAAGTTATAAAATAATATGTTTTTAAAAGACTTTTAAAGATTATTTTAATAGTTTTAATAACATATATTAAATTTTTAAATTTTAAGTAAAATCTCATTGTGACCTAGTAATAAATTGTTCATAGACCAGCACTAGTTCATGGACCAAAGTACAAGTAACACAAAACTAAAAGATTTTACTTTCTCGCAATTAAACTGAAATTCTACATACCGTGGAAAGGATGACTTGCAACAATTGAAATGCATCGTGCAACGGTGTCTTCAGCTGTCTCTAATAAGAATGCAGAAACATTTTGTTCATTGCTATCATTTTCAGAACTATTTGAATGCCTATCTTGTTTAGTTACTGGTAATTGCTGGAAAAAATTATTAACTAATTATGCATGTAATAAACAAATATTTATAACATTTATATTAAATCATATCTAAAATAAATATAATAGTTTGTTAGTCCAGCACCTGTGAAACCAGAGTGATATTAAAGTACTGAAAATGACAAATTACCAAATATTTTTGTATTTTGCAAAATTTTGTAAGTTACTATTATTTGTTCTTATATTATTATTATTATTATATATGTTTTACACATGTATCTTTATATTTTCATTAATTCATAATCTCAAAGGTCTGGCTATCAACATACAAAATATTTATTCTAGAATGTTTCAAAAATCTTTGTTCTATTCAAATACAATCAACATTCATTTCTATACATCACTAAACCTGATGTATTAATAATGATAAACCAAACAATCACCATACTTAATTGAGCTAATTAAGTGCTATTATTAATGATTAACTACTAAGCAATTTGGTACTAGAGGTTAGCATTAAGCTCCATTTAAATTAATTAGTAAATATTATAATTATTAAATTTAATAAGAGGTAGCACCTAATGCTTACTTCTAGTATCAAATTATTTAGTAATTAATCATTAAAAATAGCACTTAATTAGCCCAATTAATTATGGAGATTGGTTTATTCAATTTGTATTTTTTTCCAAGTGAGGTCAGTAAAATATGGATGCATATTGGTCAAAGGGTTTAGAAATGTATGAAAGATACATAGATGGCTATATATATCTTATAAAAATTCATTCTGAAGTCATCATTATAAATAAATTTTGCATTTTTGAATGTCAAAAAAGTCTTAATTACTGCCTATGCTAAAAATAAAAATAATCATTCATGACATCAACTTCAATTTTACTTTTATAAATCAGCATATTATATCAAGTTTATAATTATATATTGTGAGACTCAGCGGTGTTTATTAACCTACAGCCTGACCTAAACTGTTAACAATACTATTTTATTGATTAAGTATCAAATTTCACACCTGGGAGTTAATCACTCAGCAAGTTCTCAGTTGCGAAAAGATGCTTTCACATAACCTTCCGACCTATTATCACAAAGTTGTCAAATGAATATAGCTACAAACAGATTTTCGTCACAATCACAGCCGTTCCTCTAACAGAAGTCGTCAGCTCCCAACCGGACTTATTACGTGCCTCCTATTCGGATTAACTTTATCACCAACCATACTTTTTAAGTGCCTAATATAACGTTGGACTAATGATAACTTGGACTAACGTCGCTGCCAGAACCAGAACTTGGATTATTAATCTCAAGAACCTTATTATCAACTATTCAAGAATCAACCAAACTCCAGATATTTATCGCCACGCAAACTATTGTAAGCTCTCTCTCTCTCTCGAGAACGGTCATTTAAACCTTACAATCAAACTATCGACATATTGTGAGATATGTATTTCCTAGCATTACCTATTAAACGGTTGTTATGTTAATCTAGTCTCTGAAGGAATCACTTCCGGTGTGCTGTCTCTCACTCCCTCCAGCCAGAATCTGATCGCTCCGTTACACGACCGCTCACAAGTGACCTAGTTAAGTTTCCGTGTCAACAGAGACGCAATGGTGTCATCCTGACAAGGCATCAAGCAGGTACCGACCCTCTGGTCACAATATGATATCCTATGATGATGACGTAATTAAAGTGTTCTTTTAATTGAGCTGCAATTTGAAAAATTGCAGCTCTATTAAGACCTCTAAATTCCAACTTTTGTCCGTCAGTCTTTCCTTAATCTTGAGAATGCAGTTACATAGATGGAAACCTTAGGGGCAGGAGACCCCGATTAACTATATATGAACTTCCAATGCAAACTGGAATTCTGTTATTTCAATTCAAAACTTTTCCCATGAAAGCAGTTAATAAATGAGTGCAGTGGCGTTCCGTCATTAGAAGCGATGGAAGCACCGCTTCTAATATGTATTTATTTTTTACAAAATACAAATATAAAAGAAGCGGTGGAAGCACCGCTTCCCTTGTATTTTATAAAAAATAAATACATATTAATTTTAATATGAAAATAATCGCACAATATTTTATTATAACCGCATTATATATCTTATTACAAATTTCTATACTACACGTGAAAAAAAA